TTAATTTTTATTATCTTTTCGGAAATATTAATCGACATCGACAATATATTGATATCTCCATAAAATTGAGACATCGACATACATATTTAAAATATTGATTAAGAATAAAGTTAATTCGAACAAGAATAAGATCCAGACTCTTAGAATACATTCGATGAATCTCATACAAACTTCCCCACTCAGCATATACACAACACCACAAGACGACATCAAAGTCACTCTCCACAACTACCAAATATTTATGGAGCATCCATCTACTTCAATGGATCATTCAATCCAAACTTCAACACACCCTTTGCTCTCTAATCATAAATTTCCTCTCTAATCTATTTCATGGTTCTGGAGAAGGTTCCTAACTGATCGGTAGATCTCCTTAAATAGACACCACATCAATTTTTCATTACTCCATCATTTTCCTTTCTCTAATTACCCATTAGAAAAGGAATTGGATTACGTTGATGAAAGATTTTGGACGAAATGACACGTCAGTACGCGAGTTGAGGTGAATTCCAGGATGGACGAGCTGATCATCACCTGCAAATAGAACCTAGCACTTAATTTGTGTGGTGTTCAGTAGTATACTCTGAAACTTAAGTTAGTATTTAGTTTGAGTTGGTGTCGACTCGAGTTTAGTAAAATTACATAAAGATTACGTACCTTCAGAAATGTGAGATTCTTCCTTTTATATGGGAACCTTGGGAAGTATAGCCCTGCCACTCTAGCTCTCATATTTGATATCAGCAAATTTTCCGCAGACTCCAACTGCCTTCTCTAAGGTTGTCTTAGCAGGATTTCCATTGGGTACCACTTGTTTCCCGATCGAAATAGAGTTGGTTTCCTTTTCAGGTCGGTGACAAATATCTTACTAGTCCTACTTCGTCCTCCACATGTTGAAGGCCAAACTATGCATTCTTAGACATGACAAGTACTAAATCTACTTGCATTAGATTCCCAACGATAAATCCCCTATGTGTGAAACAATTTTTAGAATTTCTTTTAAGGTAAAAAAATTAAGTTTTATTTAAAAATGAACTACGGAATCTGTAGAGTAATCATCATAGTTTGCATTTTGTTCTCTACGAATCATTAAAACTACGAGGGAAATAATTTACTAATATTACTATATCAGAATTACATTTAGTCCATATCATAATATCAACTTTCTGTTAGTTTAAATTAACATAATGCCAATTTTCTTATTACAATTAGTCTAATTCATTAAATTTTTTTTTAAGTACAACATATGGAGTAAGGATCGAACTCACAACTTCTTGATTGGAGATATATGTCAATTATCGTTCCATCCTCGCTTTGATAGACTAACTCATTAATTAACAACAATAATCATTAAAAAAATAATAAAAAAAATTAGCCGACACATCAAACAAGATTTATCTTTTAAAACGCATAGGGACTAATAAAATAAATATTGATTTCATAATATATATAATAAAATAAAGTTTACTAGCCAAACCTTCTCTATTATTGGTCAAATAAGTCAGCTTTGTGTTAGAAGAAAAATGTGGTTGGGAAGGAAGACAGGTGTGTCCTTGGTCGAATCTCAAAGAAATGGAAAAATATTTGGCCGTGAACAACACGAGTCAGTCATCTACAGAACACTGCTACAAATTTGATAACTCTTTAATTTTTTAAAAGTAGAAAAAAAATATCTTTTTTAATACATTCTTTCTTTTTCCTTTATTAAAAATTTAATAGTGGGATGATCGATTCGTACTTAAGTATAAGTATTATTTCAATGCATTTGTTGACTTTCTAATAYCATTATTATATTTAATAGACAAGTGGATCGAGTATAACTTTTAAGCCAATAAAAATACGACACATCATAAAATGGGTAAAAACCGCAATCGACAGAAGGACAGAAGTAGCAGTTGGAGGAAAATAATAATAATGTAAAACGGTATAAAATGAAAATAAGCAAAAGGGAGTTTCCAATCCCAACCTTCCGGGAAGCTCGTTTTTGAAGGCGATGGCATCAAATTGGGAACCTACCCACGTGATCTTGCATGCTTGGCAATAGGAGTCTAATGGCCTCCCCTTCCCAATCTAATAAAATTTGTGTGTGAAATTACCAATTTGGACTTCATTTTGTTAACATATTCTCTCTCAATTTTTCTTTTATTCTTTGATGTTGAATTCTAGACGAGGTGACATGTGAGTTTTAGAATTAGGGTGAGCGTTTAATCAATCGAGTTGACTACTTGCATACAGAACCTAGTACTGATGTGCTACTTAGTCATATACACTTCGAAATTTAAGTTAGAACTTAATCAAAACAGGTGTCGAGCCAACCTTAGTAAATTTGCATATAAAAGTTGTGTATCTTCGTGAGGAACGGACTCCACCTTCTCATAAGGGAGTTTTAGAAAGCATCACTGTTGCATTTAGTTTCCCAAATTGGTTATGAGTTGAGCTCTCGTTCTATAGGTGGTTTTGCTTGTTCTTTATCCGGCTCAGCATATTTGAGTTGAAGATCGAATACGTGTCTTCTGGCGAGAGGCGAACTTAGCCTTTCATTGTTTTTAAAGCTTAAAATTTATTGAGAACTTTTTTAAAATACAAAATTAAATAGACAAATTCCAAATTTTAGGGGTTAAACTTTAAAGGTTAAAAATAAATCAGCTACTGTTTTAGGTAAGTATGAAGCTTTGAAATATGGTCCTTTGCCAAAAAAAAAAGGAAAAAAGAAAATGCTGCCATGAGAATCTGACAAGTGTTGCATTTGTGTCCATGGGATTGCTTCTCGCTCAATGGTTGAGGTGGTTCCACGTATTTCTTTAGTTTGGTTTGATTAGTTGGAATTGGAAACAAGTTTGGTTGAATTAAATTCTCTTTATTACATTTTACAATATTTTCAGAATCATTATTATTGTTATTATTATTTCATAATTTTAGTCCGAGTCAATCTAACATGTTATATTGACCCGATCCATGATGAAGTGCAAATTGTGTTAATTATAACTCATCAAGTAATTAAATTTATTAATTTTTTCATGAATAAAAATAAATTTATAGATGAGAAGTTCAAACCTTCTAAAAAAAATTGATTGATTCAAGATTTAAAGTCTTTGAATTGTTAAGTAAATTTACCATCTTTTTGAAGAAAATAACGGCAAATCAGATCAATTCATGTTTGTCCCATGAGTTAAAATCTAAATATTTGAATTATAAAGGGAATTTTTCAAGACAGCTGGATCAAGAGTGTAAAAGAATGTTTACTACAAAGGTTATATCTTCTACATATGTTTAACCAAAGTTTTAAATGTCGATGTTGATGAAAATATCGAGGTCTAATTAATTTTATGGAAATGCTCGAGGGAGGTTCGTAGAAAAATCATAAAAATCACCATTTTTAAATAAGTTAAAAATTGAAATTATTAATATTACCATAGTAGTGATCCTATTTTATCGATTTTTTTGTGATACTATAAAAATGTCGATGCACTCTTTATATCAATGTCAAATCTACGGACATATAGAAATGTCGATGAAAATTTAATATCGTGTGTTCAACATTGGTAGATGACTTTTGAAGAAATTTTACATTATACAAGAATGAGATATTATGGCTAGATGAGTCTTGGATGGCAAGGATAATAGAATTCTTATTTGAGTTTGCATAATTTTGGGGGAAACTTAATAAGATGTCGGACACAAACCAGTTTTCTTGTTTCTTGTTCTCGTTTTCATTTTATTCAGGTTAGATATCTTATAAGTGATTAAATTTAAGCTTTTGAATTCCTTGACGATTTAATCATGTTTAACATGGTGTTAGAGTATGAAGTTTGTGTTTGAACATCTGTATTGTTATTTACTCTCCCACAAGTGTTGAGTGTTTGATAAACTATAAATAATTAAATTTATTTTAGAAAAAAAAACAAGAAATCACAAAAATATTACCAACCAGGCATCTATTACTTCTTCCATGAACTCACAATTTTCAATTTGTTTGCAATAGCACAATAGATTTCCTACATTCTTTTGAAATAGGAACATTATCAAACGAGCTTGACTATTCCTGCCCAGAGGAATTGTTTGGAGTCTTGATTTTGCTGGGACTAAAATAATTATATACTTGGTTTTTAAAATTTATCATATAAATAAGTTTTTTAAGGGTAAAATACTATTTTTAATTTTTGAACAAATAAACTACATTTGAACATTATTATTAGCGTACTAAACAGGAAAAAACATTATTACAAGTCATTGGGGGTGCAAAAGGATAGTCAAACAATCGAGCTGACTGACCAGAACTGACCAAATTGAAGTTAGTCGATTAGTGGTCAGTTTGRCATTTTAAAAGCCAATCAGTTGGTTGATTGATACATCTGATGCTAGAGAAAAAGGACCAACTAACTATATATATATATACAAGACACGTTTTACCTTTTTGTTTTTAAGGTTTCCTCGACTCAGTCTCTCTCTAAGTTCTCAACTAAAGTCTCTCGCCTCTCTCCTCACTCGTCACCTCTCTCCAGTCTTAGATTTTGCCCCTCTCGCCTATTCAGATCTCTAGCTTCTCTCAAGTCTCTCGTCTCTCTCTACCCTCCCTTTAAATTTAAAAAAGTAAAACAATGACAATTTAAATAGAAATCGATCGATTGACACAAATTATAAATAGGAACCCTTTGTCACTCTAATTATTACTCTCGTAAGGATCATAAGTATCGAAATTTTTCCTTAAAACAATTCTAAAACACGAAGAGAAACCCACTAAAAAGCATAAGGAATTAGCGTTGATATCAATAAAAATATCGAAAGCTCAATTTTTATAAGATATCTATGTAAAATCAATGTAATAGTGATGTAGACAAAAACTTCTAAAAAAATCATAAAAACTTTAGAACTTCTACCTACATTCTATCATACACACAAAAATTTTGATGGGCCGAGAGCGGGTTTAGAAACCAAACACCAGGCCCAGGTCCAGGATCGTTCTCGTTCAAATTCCTCCCCGTTCTCTCCACACAGTCATCCCAAACAACTTCGCGCCAAATCAATGGCAACGGCAACTGCAACTGCTACTGCAATCAAGTGAAGACGAACTCGTGAACCTAAAATGGCGCTCTTGTGTTTTCTGCTAGATTTGAGAACCCTGCCTCCTCCCATCCTCATCGACGTATCCAATGTAAGAACACCTCACACCAATCGATTTCTCTTCGCATATTTCGGATTCAGATTTGTATAAGCTAAGCTCGACTCACGAATCTCGCGGTTTTAGTCCTTGTTGCAGCTCGCCAATCTCTACGCAATGTCATCATCATCCTCTGCTAGGATCGGCTTGTGCTACGTCTTGAAAACTGGCTCCTCTGTTCCCGACGATGCTCGTGTACGGAGACGCAAAATCTTTCGCTCAGATGATTTTGGTGCTCTTCGTTTTCTCTTAGTTTTATGAATTGTTTGGCAAGTTGAAATGAAATCGAAGTTAAAATTGCTGAATTGAACAGTTGGAGGTTGCGTGCAGTCCCGCAGGAAGAGGAAGCTTTAGTCTCCGTGACTTCCACCGCGCTGTCCAGAACTTGCCCACCGATGCCTTTATTCCCGAATTGAATGAGTCGGAAATTCTCTGTTGTCAAGGTACCTCTCGTCATAACTACTCTTTTCTGGCATTTCTGTTGAATGCTTGTGGAATTGAATTTGGTTGCTACCTAATAGATGTGAAACTGTCGGCTGTTTTAAGTGATCGAGTTCTATACTCGTGGGGAGATGAAGATGTAATGAGGAAAGTGATTGTAATAACCGGATTTGCACATTATGATTTGGACTCCCACATGCGAAGGACACTTATGGTTGGCAATTAATTTAGCTGAGCTTTTAAGATTTTAGTTCATCTTCAATTTGGAAGATAACTAAGAGTTTTTTTATTTTTACTTGCGTTTTCATTTTACACAGGAGGGGCCTAATAATAAGCGTGTTTCAGTTGAGTTTGCGATGTTTCAGCAAAAATCAAGACATCTCAATGGCAATGAAGAGGATTCTGCTGATGGACCAATGAGACGCATTTCTGACATTGTTGGCTGCTCTCTTAAATATTACCTTCCAGGTGGAACAATTGCTCTCCCCCTCATATTATGTGGAAAAAAAAAAGGTTATGGGTGGAGAAGCACAAACACTTTGGTAAAGTTTCTGTGTCGGACACTGACATTTATTGGACATGTTGGACACTTGTTAGCTCAATAGATGATGTCACACACTAGTTGTACAGAGTAAATATCGATCCGACACTTGTTAGACATGTATCACACACTTGTTTAGCATAATAAATAGACTTAAATAGTAATATAGGACAAAATAATAAATCTTTGAGAGCAAAATACATCAAAATTATTTTTTTAAGGATAAAATATATAAGTTTATTGACTTTGAATTTCCTTCCTATTTAAAAATGATATAAGTTTAAAAATATATATTTTAATAAATTTATCATTGTCGTGTCCATGTCCTAAATTTTTAGAAAATTGCATGTCACTGTATTTGTGTCGTGTTATATCCCTGAGATATATCCGTGCTAGCCTTATGACTTATGAGAGTTTATGAGATGTCATTTCTTTGGGTGGTGAGTATGCGGTGATATCTCATTCATGATTCCTTTTAATAAATAAGAAACTACAATTCCACTAGTTCTTAATCGTTGTAGGTAGAAAATCTCATGTTCACTTATAAGTGTAAAATTTTCTACCTTTCTTGATCCAATGTGAAAAATGAAGTTATTGTATGAATATTAATATTACAATCTTGATGATGAGGAAAGATGAATAAAAGGATATGATGTGACTTCATTTACCATTGGGGGTAACTAATACATATCAACATTAACCCATTTGGTCCATTAATCCTCATTATGAAATCATCATTCTTCAGTTGTCTATTGGTCTCTTCGACCATATCTTATTATCTATTGGTAGTGTATGAGCTGAAACAAGAAGCTGCATGTTAAAAATATTTTACAAACTTGCAGATGTTAGAGTATTTCAAAGCCTTGTGAGACAATGGTTACAAGACCTCAAGGATGACACGAAAGAACCATTATTAGCTTGTTTTGATTTCAAAGGAAACCTCATTTATTCCACGAACCAGATAACCTGCAACTTGTATATGCCTGTCAATCAGATGATTGATGGTTTTTCCCCTTGTCAGGTATTATTTGTCTAAACTTTTAACTTTACAATCATCAATTATAGTTGTAGAGTAATCAATTCTGCATTTTGTCTTTTACCCAAATGGCATGATCTGCTTGTAGAAATTTTCTTGAGCTCTTTCATTCACGCACAACCGACTCACTCATGCACGTGCACCGTTCCATTTTTTTTCACCAAATTGTACTGCAATAAGTTTGTGGGCTTCTACATTGCTTTCAAAATTTATTGAATGGTGTCTAACGAGACAGCTCAAGCTGAGTTTCCTGTAGTCAATTAAATCTTCTTCCACCAAAAATATGAACTTTAAGGTTTGAGTTATTGTTTAATTTTGTGGTTTCTGTTATTTCTTAACAGTATTATAATCATGCATGTTTTTGTAATTGCTTTTAAGCTCACTCAATTTTATTTAGTATAAAAGTTAGTAGTTAACAGATGCAAATTCTTTTTTGAGTTCATCTGTTTATGAGAGCATCCATGGATATTAATTTCATTTGCATGACAGTAGAGACAGTAACCTTCTTACTGCTAAAATGCTTTCTGAGAGTACCATGCTTTATCCTGATTTCAAACTGTTTAGCTTTCATTTCTTATTTTTTATTTTTTCAAAAAGAAAATTTTCTAATTGTAAGAAGTAGCTCGAACTTGAACCATATTTATTTGCAAATGTTGTAAAATTAAATAGTTATACTGTACTTTAAAGTAACTATAAGATTATGCAGATCTCAGTTAGTTTCTGAAATCTTGTTGATCGATATTGCTACTCTTATCCATGTATTTTTCAGAAACGATGGCTTAGAGGACAATTGTTGATGCTCTAATCCTCCAGTTTTTAGAAATAAGAATGATTGCAACAATTCCTTCTCAGAATTTCATCTTAGTTCATCAGGAGGAAAGAGATATGGCTTTATACCTTCACACCTCAAGAGAGTTGATGGAATTATGTCCTTTCTATGGGAATTAAAAATTTGATTTCTTATACTTCTTATAAGTAGGAATAGAGCAAAATAAAAAAAAAATAAAAAACCAAGTTGAATGGTTTTGTAGTTCTGCTCAGCACTCCTAGACTGTTGGCAAGAATTTTAACTATTACAGAAAATGTTGTAGACATGCAGATGTCACGGTATGCCATTGGAAGTCTATGGAAGAAAAGGGATAAAGGAACCTTCCTGCGCAGTCACCGGGCATATTCTGGAAACCTGTAACGTGATCGAAAATTCAACAAAAGTTGGAGAGAAAACAATCCTGGTTCTGCCGTCAACCCAGTGCCTTACCAAGCCCCAACAAAGTTCTTCACCAATTAAATTTGACATTGTACAAAGAACCAACTTGGGAACTTTATGCGAAAGTAAGTTGGCTCTGTAGCTCATCATCTTATCAATTACTCTCCCATCTGTCCTCCCCATTGACATGTTTACGATTTGGGAATTTGCCCTGAATTATCAGGGAATGTATGCTGATATTTAGCATTTGTCTGATACTTTCCTGTTCTGGTGCTCCACTATCCATGTCGTGAAAGAAGAATCCTGACATTAGTTTACAATTCTTACCCTGTTGACTGCTATGATTCTTCCAAAAATAGTATTCCAAGTTATGATTCTTCCAAAAATAGTATTCCAAGTTATGTACCAATATTGATTCTTTTTGAAGACTAGACCCTGTTACATATAGGCTTATAGACCCTGTTACAAAGGATCATTAACAATTGGTTATCTTACGCACTTCAATTTTATAATAAAAAATCCATCCTGCCTCCCTTTGAGTTGACTTGAAGGTTATGGGTTGGTGAGTTTTCTGACTAACCTGGATCATGACAGAAATAATAAAGCATCATATACTAATGCTTGCCCTTACACTTAAAGACTGGTGGACATCTTTAATTTTCCTCCCCACCTTTAATTTGTATCATCAATAAAAAGTAGTCAACTAGATCTTTCTGGAATCTATTTGTCCTAAGTTTTGACAGTTTGATGTAGGTATTATTATGGGAGCCTCCTATGTTGTGGTTCCATCATCTTTATCTGAGTTAGAATCTGCTTCAGCTGGCCCTGATCAGTTTGATTTGAACGCATTAGGTGCATGGAAAGACTATCTCTACTTGTTTGTTTCAATGTGGTTTTGGTTATATATCTCAATGAAATCACCTTATTATTCCTGCGCCCCTGGTTTCAGATAATACTGATCTTTTTTTATTCCTTCTTTATTTGATAGCTTTTCAAGGACTTTGTGGTGCTCTCCACTCACTAGATCAAGGTTTGGTTTGCCTTTCGAATTGGAATATGGAGACCTTAAAGGAATGCACTTTCCCTTCCTATTATATTCTTCAACCGTCACACAGTGGATCAATGTTTCTTAGGGTAACAATCGAATCTCTCCTTTGACATATGGAGTATTTGTTTTTCTTTGTGTAATGACAAACGTCTTTTCTTACCAACGATTTTGTGTTTTATGTATTTCTTTATTTTTATTTAGAATCTATTCTCATGTTCAACTAGTAGGGGTGCATCACAAAATTTTGGTTTTTGTTAATTTATCTCTGAATTATTAAGGGAAAATTGCAGCGTCTTGCTGGCTCTGAGGAAGTTTTGTATGTACCAGACATCAAAACTTTAATTACCGATCCTGTTAACAATGAGATTCAGAGCTCTATTTTAGTCTCATTGGAGAAGGTTGGTCTGTCTTCAACTAATTCCTTATTTGCATCTTTATATTTTTATTTATATCGAAAAATGTTGTGATTCTTATATACCAGATCCGTTTCTTCGATTACAATATAGTCTGAGGAAGTAGTAAGATGAAATTTATGATAGCCTTTTCAAATAATTTCTTCATGGGGTCTAAAATATTTTCTTTCTAACCTTCAGGTTGAACTAAAAGATTACAATCCGTTGATGCATGAAAGAGGCCTCCACCAAAAACTGAACGTTCTGGTGAAAGAAAGCTTGGAGTTCAGGTAGCAATCCTCTCATCTCCTTTGTCTATACATAGAATTTTATGTAATAAAGTTTTCACATCAGCCAAGCTGGTCATGAATCTGATGTCATTCTAATAAACTCCTTAAAACTACCCAAAGGAATCAAAATCTTTATGGCTCGATTCAGCAATATGTTCTTTTTGGTCTTCTTTCTTTAAGAATTAAACTATTCATTTTTTCACTTCTTCAAAGTACTTCTAAAATCTTAGTCAAATTTCTATAATTAAAAAAAAAAAAGAATTACGATCCCAACTATAGTACCAATCAAATCCATCTTGGTTTTCTGATAATTTCCTAGAGACAAAGATAGCACACAACATTGTCGCCTTCGATAATACTTGTGTCGCATTTCTGTGCCACATCCCCCATTTCTAGGCAATTTGTCGGGATCTCTTATCAAATCTTGTACGTCATTACATTAGATAAAAAATAGAGAAAAAAAAGTAACGTGTTGCCCATCTTCGGCATCATTATTTGCGTAGCCCTTAATTTACTTGTTGAAATTTGGATATAATGATGATTACTAGAGCTGACAAATGGGGAACTTTTTTGGTTTATATGCCAGCTCCTTAACTCCTACGGCAAAAGAGGCAACCTCCGGCAGTGAATCAAGCGGCCCAGATTGCGGAGTTGCTGAAACTTGGGAGCTGCTAGTTTCCCATGAATTCCCTGAAACATGTCCAGTTTATGTTTCCAAAGACAAATTGGATGGACTTTGTGTCTCAGTTCCAGAGGGCAACAGACAATTGGGTGTGAAAACGTCGAGAATTCTAGAGAGACTTGAAGTACCGAGAAAGAGAACCAAGGCTACATCTCCTAATACCCTTAGCATTGACTTGGTTGATTCAAATGCTCTAATGAAGCCGCTGACAGTGACAGGTACTCAAACTCAACTTATGAAACCAAATTTCAATAAACTCAAAAGAAAACGTCCATGACCAACCACCCCTCCCCCAAAAATAGACCTTTTTTTTTATAGGATGAATGAAAATGGAGAGCTTTTCTTCTCCAGCTCTTCACGCAGACAAATTCTGAGGTATGACTCAAATGATAATGTGATCCTTCATGCTGAAAATGTATGAGCTTTGTGGATATTTCTCAATAGGATAGTGAAGGTTTGCCTCCACACAAGTAAATGAGAGTTTATTCTTAGTTTCTGATGTGTTTATTTTAGTGAATAGAAAAAGAAGTGTTGGTTGGGCATACTTATTATTGCTTAATATAGATAGACAAATACAATAAAACCTTAGGCTCGATTGTAAGTCAAACTTTTAATTTTGTGTTTATCTAATCCATGTCGTTGTTAAATCGAGCATAACTCAACAGTAACGGGCACATATCTGTAATCAAGATCACACCCCCACATGTTGTACTAAAAAAAGAGTCCATGTTGTTAGCTCTCTTAGTTTTAACCTTTTGGTATATAGTTTTTTTGTTTTTGAAAATTATGTTTTTTTTATCACAATTTATTTGATATGTTTTCGTCTTAATTAAAAAACATTTAAGCTCTTAGCCAAATTCTAAAAACAAAAACTAGTTTACCTGCTTAGATTTTGAATACGTTTTCAAAAAAATATATATAAAACAAAAAATACATGAGTGGAAGTAGTGTTTACAAGTTTAATTTTCAAAAATAGAAAACCAAAACAAAAAACTGTTATCCAACAAGGTCTTTAAGGATTACAATTAAAACTCTCTCACGTGAACTTTAAATAATACACAATCTATGTGTCATGTGAGTGTCAAATAAATAAATGAAAGAGCTTGTTTTAATAGAAAAATGATAACTTAGACTTGTTTTAATAGAAAATTGATAACTTAAGGCCCGTTTGATAACCATTTTAGTTTTTGATTTTTGGTTTTTCTTTGTTTTTAGTTTTTGGTTTTCTATTTTTAAAAAACAAAAAACCAAAACATGTTTGGTAACAATTTTTAGTTTTTTGTTTTTAAAAAGTTGGAAAATTGAAAATGCATATTAGAGAGAGAATTTTATGTAGAGTAAAGATGACAATGGTGTGGGTGCGAGTGAGGATGCTCTCCCACATTCTCGTGCTCGTGAAAATTTTTAGTCTCCGTCTCCACCTCGTCTTGGGTCTGAGAGATGTTCTCGAGAAAAATTATCGGTTTTATAATTGTTTTAATTATTTTTAGAATTTAAGTATAAAAAAGTATAATAAATATATATTAATTATTTAAAAAATGGAATCGGGGATGGGGTCGGGATATGCATGCCCTATTTTTGGGACCCGACCCTACGAAAATTTTTGTCTTCCCCTAATGCAGAGACATGAAAATACAGAGAGATGTAAATAAACTTTTGGAAGATAAATTTTAGAGATATAAATACAAAGATTTAGAAAAAAATATAGTTAAAGAAAAGTTAAAAACAAAAAGAGAAAAATTTTAGAGAAAAATAATAAAGTCGAGAGGAAAAGATATATTAAAGAAAAAAAAAGAGAAAAATTATAGTGGAAACAAATTTAGAGATAAAAACAATATTCAAAATATAATTTTTAGAGAAAATAAATAAATATAAAGATAAATAAAAGTTATAGGGAAAAAAAATTGAATGAGAAAATAAAATATAATTTTCAGAGAAAAAATAGATTACGAAGAGAAAAAAAATTATAAAATATGAGATTTTAGAGAAAAAAAAGTTAGGAAAAATATTAAATTTTTATAGAGAGAAATGAAACTTGTCTGTTAGAAAAAAAATATAGAAAAAATTGGGGAGGGACAAATAATCATAAATATTCAAAATATTAAAATTTTAGAGTGAGAAAAATAAAGTTTGTAGAGAGAAATTTAGAAATAAAAAAATTTTAGAGTGAGAAATAAATTTTTTTAGAGATGAATATGAGAAAGGAAAAAAAAGTTGAGTATTAGAAAAAAAATCAGATCTTGAAAAACAAAAATCTGTTTTTGGAAACTATTTTTTTTTTTAATTTACATAGAATTTCAAAATGATTTTTGAAGAACAAAAAACAAAAAATTGACTAAAAATTTTGTAAAGTACAAAAACCAAATATACTACCAATTTGAGTTTAGCTCAACTAGTTAAAATTTTATACAAATACAATACTAATTGAAATTCGAAGGACTAAACTTCCATAAAGTTTAGGGACCTAAAACTTGTGAAGGTGTTAATATATATATATATATATAGATACATCTTTGAAAATTGATATAAGTAGATAAGTTCTGTTCGTTTTGTATTTTGAGCTTCATGGAAATATATAATTAATGCATAGAAAGTGAAACCAATTTGGAATTTATTGCACGAAAAGGAATTGGAGTTCAGGTTTCGTGCAAGATATGTTCAAATTTAATAACCCAAGATTTATTTAATTAGGTTAAATCGGTGAGGTTGAATAATACAGAGGTTCAAAATTACCTCAACTTTTTTACCTACTTAATTTTGTGGCTAGGATTATTGTGTCCTTCTTAGTTTGGTTGAAAACTTTTACGGATTGATTTCGAGCAATTTTATAATTTAATTTTAAAGATGTATTAATTCAACTACTTATTTTATTTTAATTTTTAGTACAACGAGTGGGAGTGGGGATCGAACTCATAATCTTGGTTGGAGATATATGCCTCGACAATTCCACTCCTTATTGAAGTTTAGGGTTAAATTTGACGAAATTAAAATGTATTAAATAATGCTAATCCGAATAAAAATAACCTTTTCTTTCTCTGGATTTTGTAAGTTATTATTGAAAATGAGATCTATCATTATGACTTAGGAGAAATAATGTCATTAAAAAATGATCTGATTTAGGAATAAGTTTAAATAATATATTTTCATGGTGTTCATTTTGGTTCATGTAATTTCAACTTTTCTTCATTTTAGTTCTTGTACTTTCAAAACGCCAATTTTGGTCTTTGTACTTTTGAAAATGTATCATTTTGGTCTTTATTTGCAAAATTTTAACATAAATTTTATACGCAATGAAAACTTTTTAATACAAATATAGAGCTACATTTTAAAAAAATTAGTAAATTTGGTAAGTAAAATGTCATGTTAAAGTTATGATCCAAATAAATGAGATAATAATAAAAATGAAATGACCAAAATGATAAATTTTTAATAGTAAGTTGACCAAAATGAACGTTTCAGGAGTATTGAGATTAAAATGAATAAAAGTCGAAAGTTTAGAAATCAAAATAGATACTTTCAAAGTATAAAAACCAAAATGAATCAGAACCGAAATTACAGGAACCAAAAGGGTATTCAAATCTTAATAATGTGTTCTAACATCTCCCCTAAATGAGAATTAGATGCGTTCATAACAACCTCCCCTATTTAAATCTAAACTTACTTTGAGTTTGGGAGTGAGGGTAGAATTACCATTCAAGTGAGATTTAAAAATCAATTTAAAGTGATTTTAAACTTTCATAAAATCAAATTTTAAAATTTTCAAACATCATCCATGAAAAGATAAATGATTTTGAAATGGCAAAAATGTATATATATATATATATATAGGGGATTCGAACTCACAACCTCTTTGTTGGAGGTATATGGCAATTACCACCGAGCTATGCTCGTTTTGGCAAAAATGATATTGGTCATGCCAAAATCACTCCCAAACACACCCTGACACATTTGATTTCTAGTTAATTTAGATAGTACATGGTCTCTTCTAAAATGTAGATCCAATTCTGCCTTTTTAAGTGAAATACAAGATTGGTTATAACTGTAAGAGAAAGGAATAATAACATTGTCTCACCATATTAATGAAAGTTGCTAGGAATTTAGTTTCAATCAAATAATTGAAACTAGCTTTCTTCATCAATTGGTGTTCAAACTATGTGCTAGATTTTGCTACAATATGTAGTTGCTTTCTTGATTACCATGTGACTAATGTGTTCTTAAAGAAAGATGTCATGGGATAACGAAACCGTAGATGGAGCTACAACAAACTGAATGTCACATTGTAAGTTGAGGGCGTGTACGTTACCTAGAGTTACGTTCGTTTAGAATATTGGCTTAGCCAACCTTAAATGGGAAGAGTGATTGTCTAGGTTGAGTTTGTGATGTTGCTATCAATCAATCCAAGTCAGGTGAATGGTCGATTATTTTGTTCATATATCCACACTACTGTAGATAGGGCGTTGTGCATACTTAATGGTAGCTCGATAAGTTATAGTTACGTTTTGTAATAGTGTATCCATACTTTTCACATAATCGAGTTGAAGTTTCTCGAAAATCTCATGGTTTTGTATTTTATTAATAATTGTTCTCACTTCTATACTAAGACTCTCCCAATTTGGAACTTTGTTTGCACTGATGCAAAAAATTTGAAAAATCAAGAAACCATTTCTTTCTTCAAAATCTTATAAACTTCTTTTTAGATGATACAAAACTAAAGAAAATTGACAAAATAAATACAATTGTGATCTTATTCATGGTACACATTTTAGATCTCTTTTTAACAACACAACAATACTAAATACTAATACTAAATACTAAATACAGTTAATAATAATTTACAATTCAAATAACTACTCAAGACCATGAGAATTATACAATTGCTTGAACCAAAATAACTCATATAAGACAATGAATGGTACAATGAGAAGTTTAAGAAGTTTAAGAGCTCGTTTAATATTGGTTTGTTCTTTGTTTCTCGTTTTCAATTTTTGACAAATATAAATATTTGATAATTATTTTTGTTTCTCGTTTTTCTTTTTTTTTTTTTAAGTTTTCAAAATTATATAAAAATTTTAGAAATAACAGAATCAAATCAAATTTATTGGTGATGTTACCAATCTTTTTTTTCAAAATATAAATAAAAGTATTATTTTGGGTAATTGCGAAAAATAGGCTCATATTTAACTTTTAAACTTTTAGGACTTTTTAAAGTGAAAGTACAATGTTCACTCCTAAATGTAAAAAACCCGCCCAAAACAATTAAAACCTCTCTTTCAATCTCATATTCTCTCTAGTTTTTGAATCTCACGTCTCTCCATCCACGCTTTCTTGTCTCTCACTGCTCTAWTCTCACTCTTTCACTAGTTCCTCTCAACCCCACAACCCCATTTAAATTTTAGAGAACGAGAAACTAGAAAYGATATGTATAAAAGAAAATAGTTAACAAATATAGTTCGTCATTTATTAAAAAAGATGAAACGAGAAACAACAAACAAGAAATAGAAACATCACCAAACAGGCTCTAAAAGAGAGTATCRAAGACAGACTCGTTAAAATCAGATAAGACCATGTTGTTTTGCCACAAACCTAAGAAACATGAATTCAATTTCACGTCCCTCCATCGATGCTTTCTTGTCTCTCACTACTCCRATCTCACTCTTTCACTAGTTCTTCAACCTCACAACCTCATCGAAATTTTAGAGAACGAGAAATCATAAGTGAGTATCTTTTTTAGTACAACATGTGGAGGGTGGGGATCGAACTCACAACCTTTTGATTGTAGATATATACCAATTACCACTAAGCTAGGTTCGCTTTGACCAGAAATGACTTAAACATATTATAAAAAAAATCCAATAAAAACAAAAAACAGTTAACAAATATAGTTCGTCATTTATTAAAAAAGATGGAATGAGAAACAAGAACAAAAAATAGAAAACCACCAAACAAACTCAAAAAAAGAGAGAATCCAAGAGATAAAACCATGTTTGGTTGTTTTTTGCAATGAACCTAAGATACATGAATTCAAGACATGGTAAAAAAAGAAAAAATTGGACCACAAAAATTACAAATAAATAGATAATAACACTTGAAGCCATTTTAGAAGAGGAAAGTAAAACATAGTCCACAAGAATTGAAAAGTGAAAATTGAGAGAGAGAGAGAGAGAGAACAAAAGTAGGCTATGTATGATATTAGTTAAAATCACATGCATAGTTTAAAGGTTAACCCAAGGGTTGGGTTAAGCTAACCATATGGGTTGGTTAATTGGAGGCCCAGTGTCCCAATTTCTGTAGGGAATGGTCCCCTAAAAAAAAGCCCAAAAAGTCACCCAAAACCCTCTCTCTCTCCTCTGCTTCTTCTCTCTCCTCTGTATAAATATATTCTCCAAACCTTCCCACTATCCTGTACAGTCACTCTCTCACTCCTCTGCACTTCCATTTTCTCTCTCTTCCGCCATCATCAGCGGTTGCAGAGTGGAACCCAATTACTGCACTTCAATTTCCAACTCTACACCGCAGTTCGTTATCTAACGGTTTTCTTTTTTGTCCCAATTCTTCCCGATTTGCCCTCTCCGATATCATGATCACCGGCAAGGATTTGTACACTGTCTTGACCGCGGTGATTCCTCTGTACGTCGCCATGATTTTGGCCTATGGCTCCGTTCGTTGGTGGAAGATCTTCTCGCCCGACCAGTGCTCCGGCATCAACCGATTCGTCGCCATCTTTGCTGTGCCGTTGCTTTCTTTCCATTTCATTTCCACTAACGATCCGTACGCTATGAACTTCCGGTTTGTTGCGGCGGATACTCTGCAGAAGATCATTATGCTTGCTGCGCTCACAGTTTGGGCCAATTTCACCAAGAATGGGAGTCTCGAGTGGTTGATCACCATTTTCTCGCTCTCTACGCTGCCGAATACACTCGTGATGGGGATTCCTCTGCTGCAGGCTATGTATGGCGGTAACTCTGGGAGTTTGATGGTTCAGGTCGTTGTGTTGCAGTGCATTATTTGGTATACGCTTCTGCTTTTTCTGTTCGAGTATCGTGGAGCGAAGATTTTGATTATGGAGCAATTTCCTGAAACTGCTGCTTCCATTGTGTCGTTCAAGGTTGATTCGGATGTTGTTTCGTTGGATGGGAGGGATTTTCTTGAGACGGACGCGGAGATTGGGAATGACGGCAAGCTTCATGTGACGGTCAGGAAATCGAACGCGTCTCGGCGGTCGTTAGGTCCGTGCTCGCTCCCGGCGTTGACGCCTCGGCCATCGAATCTCACCGGAGCGGAGATTTACAGTCTCAGCTCTTCCAGGAACCCTACGCCGCGAGGTTCGAATTTCAACCACGCGGATTTCTACTCTCTGATGGGATATCAAGGACGGCACTCGAATTTCGGTCAGCCGGAGTTGTATTCCGTTCAATCCTCGAGAGGTCCGACGCCGCGGCCGTCGAATTTTGAGGAGAATTGCGCTGTTCCGACGGCTAATTCTCCGAGGTTCGGGTTCTATCCAGCTCAAACGGCGGCGACGACTTACCCGGCGCCGAATCCAGAGTTCACGAAGAGCGGGAAAACACAGCAGCCGCAGGCGCCGCCGCCGCCGCAGAATGGTGGTCCGACGAGCAAACCCAGCCATGACGCGAAGGAGCTTCACATGTTCGTGTGGAGCTCGAGCGCTTCACCAGTTTCAGAAAGCGATGGCCTCCACGTATTCGGCGGGTCCGATTTCGGAGCTACTGAACAAACTGGGCGTTCCGATCAAAACGCCAAGGAAATCAGAATGTTCATCGCCGATCACCCGCAGAATGTGGAAAAGAAAGGTACAAACCAACCATTAAAGAAACACGAACAAAATCCAAATCACAAGGCTTATTTAATTATGTTTCTGATTGTGATTAAGCAGTTCTTGAAAGTGAGCGGTTCAGAGGGGAAGAGTTGAATTTCGCAGGAAGAGCAGAGGTAGACGACGAGAAAGAAGAAAAGGGCCCTATTGGTGGACTTCATAAGCTGGGGTCCGCCGCCGCCGCCGCCGCCGCCGGAGCTCCGGAGAGTGGGGCGGCGAAACAAATGCCTCCGACGAGCGTTATGACCCGTCTGATCTTAATCATGGTGTGGCGCAAGCTTATTCGAAATCCAAACACGTACTCAAGTCTCATTGGCCTTGCTTGGTCTCTTATTGCCTTCCGGTACTGTGTTTAATTAAAGCCATTAATTTTGGATGCATTTTTTTATGTCTTTGTGATTTCGTGAGCATTCAGTTAACCCTTCTGTTTGAATCTTCTTTGTATGTAAAATTGCAGTTGGCATGTGTCTATGCCCAAAATAATTGAGAAATCAATCTCCATTCTGTCTGATGCTGGCCTTGGCATGGCAATGTTCAGCTTAGGTGAGTCATCAATCTGGTTTCGGTTTACAATGCTTTTGATAACGTTTTTGTTTTTTATTTTCTGTTTTGGATAAGCAAAAATATATTCATCATCAAACCGGGACTAATTGATTGATTTTTTATCTTTTGGCCCCGAGAAAAAGTGCTCATTTTTGGTTTGGAGCCTTTCAATAATTGGTTATTGTAGTAGGCTCACAATATGTTACTGCTAGATTTTTATGTACCTTTATGGTATGTTAGGGTTGTTTGATGGGTTCTTGTTTTAGATAAAGAAAAAAGGAAAAACAGAATTGTTATGGAATGGACATAATCAATTAGTTTTTACCTTTTGACCAGAAAAAATGTGACCATTTTTGGTTTGGAGTTTTTCAATTATTGGTTATATATCTTTTAAGTGTAGGCTCAAATATGGTGTTGATTCAAAATTTTCTTTGAGTATTGTTTGATTTGTGATGTGTGGATTTTTTTGCTTCAATTCCAAATTAAATTAGGCAGATATTAGGTTGGTGTTATTGTCTACTCTGTCTGAAATTATGGCTTGGTCCTTGCTTGCCCAACACCAACTCAGAACCATCCATTTGCTTCTCACATTCTCTGTCACAAACAAAATCCATAAATTTTTTTATCTTCTTCACTACAAATATATCTCTACCACCCAACATGTGGGCCCAATCCTCAGTGTCTGTGGTGTTTAAGTTCCCTGTGGCCATCTTTTGCTTATGATTCTTCTGCTGTCCCGTTTACACTGTGAAATGAATCTCATTAAATTCAAAATTTTATGGTCCAGACGATTTTTTAATCTCTCTTTTGGTTTGTTTCTGAGGATCAGTTGTTCGTTTGTTTTTTTTCCCCCTCCAAGGTATATTCATGGCTTTACAACCGAAACTAATTGCTTGTGGCAACTCCATTGCTTCCTTCGCCATGGCGGTGAGGTTCCTCACCGGCCCGGCTGTGATGGCGGCCGCTTCGGTTGCTGTTGGTCTGCATGGCAACCTCCTCCGCGTCGCCATTGTTCAGGTACTTCAACTTATGTTTTACGTTTGAAATTTGACCAACCAAACTGATATATATGTGACATTGCAAGTGATTAAACCTATATCTTGATTTGATCCTTGCAGGCCGCATTGCCCCAAGGAATTGTTCCCTTTGTTTTTGCTAAAGAGTACAATGTCCACCCTGCCATTCTTAACACCGCGTAAGTCCATGAAATACGACTTTCGACTTTCAACTACTTAACACGACTAACCATAAATGAGAGTAGTATTCATACTTCTATATATTAGTTGAAATTACTTTTGGTCTTGTTCTAATTAGCATTGATAATTACTTGTTGGGTATTGTGCTGATTCAAAAAACGGATGAATCTCATATGTGTGCTACAGAGTCATATTCGGGATGTTGATAGCACTGCCGATCACCCTCGTCTACTACATCCTTCTCGGGTTGTAATATTAGGAAAAACAGCAAAAAGTGAAGAGAAAATTATGAATTGCTTCCTTCAAATGCTGCAACTGGATGATACCCAGAAAGAAAAAAGGAGGGTTCCAAAATCTCCGGGGGGATTGATTAGTGGGTGAGTGGGACCAAAGTTTCAATACAAAATCAGACTAGTAGAAGAAAAAAGGACGACAGCAAGCAAAATAGAGTCTTAGTTAGGTGCTGCAGAAATGGCAATCAATTGGGGAAACATTGAAGAGGAAATCAAGGAAATTGGTCAAAAACTCTCTCTTTCTCTCTTCTGTGTGTGTGTGTGAGTTATATTATTGGTGTTTTTGGTCAATGATTGTCCTTTGAATTTGATTGGTCCAACAAATTATATGGGGGTTTGTCGTCTTGCTCTGATTTGTAAATTTACAGAGCACTCTTTTCCTTTGGCAAAGATAAGAAAGAGATTAAAAGTAGTTTCAGCATCATACACTACAATACAGTGTCGTTGTGGGTTCTCGGAAAAAGAAAGAGCAAAAAAAAAAAAAAAAAAAAGAGGATGAGAACAATGGCATCTTTTAAAGCATCTGCTCCTTTTTAACTTGCTGAATTGAAAACAAAGTTTGAGAAAAAGCAAGATTTTTGGATTAATACTTTCGAAATTATTCTCAAAATATTTGTTTTAGTTCTCGAGCTTCTAGGTCTATTCTATTTTAACGATGTTTGGTATTTTGCTGTTAATTTTTTTTAATAGATATGAGGACTTTAGAATGTGTATTGCTACGTTGATGTGAGCATGTATTGAAATCGCTCAGCTTTTGAGATAAGGTAATAAGTGGGTGATGACTACGAGGTGAGTTTGGGATGCCCTCTTGTTGTCCTTGATCTTGGAGGGAATTTTAATCATGTCCCGTCCAATTTACGAGAATTGGGGTTGGAAAATCTTCGTACCAAAAAATTCAAATTAAAAAATATTTTAAAATATATCAAAATTATATTAGAAAAAAGTATCCACAGCAATAATATTATGGAATTTGTATCTATATATATATAAAGAACAAAAAAGAAAAGATAAATCAGTCTTGAAACCTCTATCAATCTATTACTGATAGAAAATATCATTTATAAACGTCTATTACTAATAGATTATAATACTAACAGTATATAAGACATGTATCACTAATAAACTATATAGTGATAAATGTTTGATATATCATTAATAACAGTTTGTTAGACTATATATTATTGACAAAATTATGTCAATGATAGATTATGCAATTAATAAAATGTTTATGACTGATAGAATACGATATCATTGACATAGCGCTTGGTACTCGAACATTGGTTCGAGGTATTTTCTCTACCCCTTCTTACCCTGAAAAAGTAGGGGCACATTGCGTCTTTGAACCGATAACCATCTTTCGGCACGGGAATGTAAATAGAAAACATCGCYTGGGAAAGCCTCACGGCCTGGTGGTTGGCGTGACGAAGTGCGGAGATCATTTCTTTGTCGGACGAAATCGATTCAATCGGTTGCTCGCCTGCTTTTCCTTTCTCCTTATCCCTAGGGTCCGTTGGAGCTTCTTTCGCCTTCGTCTTCGGTTCATGGAATGGCTTTCTTAGTTACGCTGCGTCCTGACCGACAGATTATGTCAATGATAACCTATACCATCGATAAAAGTTTACCACTGATAGACTATGTTAGTGATAGACGTATATCAAGGATATAGTTTATCTCTAATGGACTAATAGACGTAGATGAGAGGTACATAAGCTTACAAAGGAAATCATGTTGTCCAAATAGGGTCACGATTTTTTTATTTTAAATAGCCATATTTGCAAAATCATAATCCTGTTTCTATATTTACAAATATGACAATGTAAATTAATACACATCAACACTTCAAATACCAACAAAATTATTTAAAAAAAAACAACTTCATAGACTAATGAAGATTTTGCCTGTCATTTGATAACTATTTCGGGCCGTTTGATAACCATTTTTGTTTTTGATTTTTTGGTTTTTCTGTTTTCTGTTTTTAGTTGTTAGTTTTTGGTTTTTGGTTTTTAGTTTTTAAAAAACAAAAACGATGTATGTTTGATTTTTTGCTAAAACAAAAATTCTATGTAGGGTAAGATGACAATGATGTGGGATGAGAGTGAGAATATTCTCTTCCATTCTCGTGCTCGTAAAAATTTTTAGTCCCCGTCTCCACCTCGTTCTTCTGTCGAAGAATCGAGATCCAAGTTAAAGAATTCTTATTTGATAGGGATATTTGCAAGAAAAATTACCGGTTTTATAATTGATTTTAATTATTTTTAGAATTTAAAAAATAAAAAAGTGTAATAAATATTTTTTTAGAATTATTATTTACTAATATAAATATTTAGTTATGAAAAATATTTAACAATTTATTCACAATTTAGTAAATATGTCAATAAAATATATATTAATTATATAAAAAATAGAATTGGGGACCGCATTGAGACATGCATTTCCTATTCTTAAAGTGCGGACCAATCTACTAGAGTTTTTTTCATCTCTAATGTAGTGCCATGAAAATATAGAGAGATGAAAAGAATCTTTTGAAAGATAAATTTTATTGAGATAAAGAAAAATATTTAGAAAAAAAATAGTGAAAAAAAAAATAAAGACAAGAAGAGAAAAATTTTAGAGAAAAGGTGTAAAGAAAAAAATTGTAGAAAGAAAAAGAAAAATTATAGCGAGAAAAAACTTAGAGAAAAAAACAAAATTCGAAATATACTTATTCAAGAAAATAAATAAATATAAAGAGAAATAAAAATTATAGTAAAAGAAAATTGAACGAGAAAAAGACGATATAATTCTCAGACGAAAAAATAGATTAGGAAGAGAAAGAAGAGTTATAAACAATGAAATTTTAGAGAAAGAAATGTTGGAGAAGATATTAAATTTTTAGAGGGAGAAACGAGAGTGATATGTTAAAAAAATAAAAAAAATACATAGAGATGGAAAATTGAGAGAGTGAAAAATAATGGTAAATATTTAAAATAATAAAATTTTAGAGAGAGAAATAAAATTTTAAAATGATATTTAAGGAGAAAAAAGTCGAGAAAAAAATTTGTTAGAGATAAATATGTTAAATAAAAAAAATTGTATTAAAAGCGAGATACTCTATTTTGTTTTTGAAATTTACGTAGGATTTCAAAATGATTTTTGAAACAGAAAACATAAATTGAATTGATTATGAACACCATGTTTTTCAAAAACTAAAAATCAAAAATAAAAATAGAAAACAAAATGGTTATTAAACAAGTGTTTCGTTTTTTTGATTTTTTAAATATTGAATTGTTTGATAATTAATTTAGGCTTCGTTTCATATCTATTTTGTTTTTTTAATTTTTTATTTTAAATTAAGACTATAACTCTATTTGTACCGTAGGATTCTTAGTTCTGTTCTCCATTTTTTTTAATAATATATAAATTTAAAATCTAAGTCAACCTTTCAAAACTAAAATATATATATATATATATTTTTTTTTTGTTTAAAAAATAGTTTTTGTTTTTAAACGTGCTAAAAATTCAAATGTGTTTTTGTAAAATTTGAAAAAAGATATCAAATAAACTGAGAGAAAATAAGTATAATTAAGTTATTATTAGACATTATGTCAGTTTATTAACAATTTTGTTTTTGATTTTCTATTTATGAAAATTAAACTTATACACGACATCTCCACTTATCTGTTTCTTTGTTTTGTTATCTTGTTTTTTAAAATATTTTCAAAATTAAGTCAAATTTTGAAAACTAAAAAAGAAAAATAGTTTCTAAAATTATGTTTTTTTTTAAATTCGGCTAAGAAGTCCAAAACATGTAATAATTTGACTTAACTTTTCTTCTCTAAGATATTTATCCCTCTATAACTTCTTAGAAAACAAAAAATTAAAAATAGTTATCAAACATATTAAAATTACAAAAAAAAATAATTAAACATCTTAGCTTTCATCATTTAAAAATAGAAAACAAAATATAAATGTCTGTCTAATAACTATTTTATTTTTGAAAATTAAGTTTATAAACACTAAAGTGATGTGTTCGATTGTTCTCTAATGATCTCTATTTTTAAAATGTTTTCAAAATCTAAACTAAAACTTAAAAATAATAAAAACTAGATTAATTTTTTCTTTTAAAAAATTGACTAAGAATTCAAAGGTTGAAAACATATACCAAAAAGTCAAAAACATTGTGAGAAACAAGAATAATTTTTAAAACGGAAAACTATAAACATAAGCATTTTCAAACAAGGCGGGAGGCTTAATTTAATAATGATTTTTATTTTTATTTTTATTTTTATTTTTATGTTTCTATTTTTTTTCTAAATTTCTTTATTTGTTTTTTTCTTCTTTTTACCATTTTTACGACACAATTGAAATTCAAATAAGTTTTTTAAAAATGAGCTAGTGATTTTTTTTTCCTGCCTTTAAAAATTTAAACTATAACACTACTTTCACCGATGTATTTAATTGTGGATAAAAGTATTTTGAAAATATAAGCAAAATTTTGAAAAAAGAAAAAAGTGGTTTTTTAAAAACTTAATTTTGTTTTTTAAATTTGGCTGAAAAGTTAAATGTGTTTTTAAGGGGTGTGAAAAGATACTAAATAAATTTTTAAGGACTTTTTAAAACATGCAACTAAAAGTCAAATGATTTCAGGACGGAAAAAATAAATACATTTAAAAGTTTCCAAATAAATATTATTTTTAAATACCATTTTAATTTGTCTATTTTCGTTAGTGGTTCATTTTAACCTTTTTAAAACGTATAGTTTTGGTTCCCATAATTTAAAAAAGTGATCTTTTTTTGTCCCTACACTTTTATTTTTATCTCGATTAAAATTTTAACATGACACTGCACACACTAACATTTTTGAAATGCAGCTATAAATTTGCATTAAAAGATTTTTATTGGGTATAAAATTTGTACTAACATTTTGTAAATAAATCGAACCAAAATAATCACTTTTAAAGGTACAGAGACTCAAACAAGTGTTTTGAAAGTAAGAAAACTAAACTGAAAATGACGTTAAAAATACATAGACTAAAATGAACCAAGTACAATCGACTAAAACGGTATTTAAACCCATTAAAAAAAGAAAGAGAGAGAGAAGAATAGGAAAGTCAGAATCCACTTTATTTATTTTTTACTTTTTTGTTTTTCACTTTAGGATGAGCCCACTAAAGAAACTACACTTGTATATTAATTCCTTCTACCAAAGTCAAGGGGGGCTTCACCAAAACCAGTTTGTTTGGTTGGTTTAACAACTTTTTTTGTACAACAAAATTTGATGGGACCTTTGCTAAGATATGCATCTTTCTTAATCATAAGTCAGTAGGGTTATGTTTTTTTCTTTTTTCTTACCACATGGTTTGATCATTTGTGGGCAACTACTTGTGTTGTATAAATCAATATGTTACTACTCGAGATATTTGAAACACGGTT